TATGAATCCATCATTACCATTTTTTCTTCATCTGTTTGGTTCATATGTTGATTTCCCTTTCCTAGTCTGATAGGACACCCGTTCGGTGTTTTGTCTTCTATTTTGCACCATGTGTCAGATATTTGTGATTGGGCATGCCAATACAAATTAGCAAGTGTAAACTTAATTTCTAATAAAGCTAGGTTCATTCCCAAGCACAGGCGAATACCCTTACCAAATGGCATCATAAATCTTTGCTGTTTACTAATACGTTCTTTGAAATCAGCAGCATTTTCGCCTTCATATTGTAGCCACCTCTCAGGATTGAAACTGTGCGGTGATTCAAATATCTCTTCCTGTCTGTGCATTGCATATGGAAGACAGGAAATGGTTGTTCCTTTAGGAATTAATACCTCATTGGTCTTATCTCCCCTTTGCACTTCTATTTTATATTTACGATCAACAACTCTTGGCTGTGCACCTGGAATTGATGAGTGTACTCGCAAGTTCTCTTGTAGGAGAGCATTCAAGACAGGTAATTTGTCTACTATTTCGAAATCTTGTAAAATACTTTCAGTATTTGATGGCATGCCAAAGCTTTCGACTAATTCTTTCTTAAAGGCATTTTGCCATTTTAAATTTGTTGGTCTTGATAACTCATAACATAAATATGTTAGTTGTATAGCTGTTGTTCTATGACCGGCAAATATGTTATCGGTGATAAAACTGTAAGCATTTTTATTATGAAATCCATTCAGTTTCAAAACTTTTAAGCTAGGACACTGAGGTTGTTTTTCTTTATCAATATTTCTTTCTGCTTTAGAATACAAATTCATGTGCCACTGTTCAATATTATTAACAGCCTGTTTGATATCCTTTGTTGCAACTAAATTCCAAAATCGAGGCATCAATGTAGTCCAAAACCCCATACTATCTTTCTTTCTGTACCAATGAACAACTTCTTCAGATTCAGGATTTTCCAATAAATTTGTGCCACTTTCTTTTCCTAACTCGAATGCCAGAATGACATCCATTGCAAGACAAGAGAAAAGTGAATAAACATCAATATCCCCATTTTCGCTCAGTTCCTGTTCTTTGCGAAGTCTTCGAATTACTTTTGAAACAGCTTCAACCAAATGACTTCTCGTTGGGTTTTGTGGAGAAAGAATAGATGTCTTATTGTATACATTCATTAATACTCTCTTATATTTCAAATGAGTATCATTTTTCAGCTCCGAAAATGGGTTGTCATGGCCGTGATTGCGAAAATTATTATAGAAATTACCCTTGCAGAAATTATTCACATATATGTCTTTAATATATTGAGGAGACCCGTTTACAGATATTTCATAAGGGGAAAGGACGACAACTTTACCATATTTCAAATGTAAGTTGTAAACTGTTTCAATCCACTTGTTTGTTCTTTGGGCATTTAAAGATGAAAATGCACTAACTCGATTCCAATATGGCCCTGGAATATTTCTTAAAGGAGAAACAAAAAAAGGCCGAATCACTAAGAAGTAAGTGCCAAATAAGAGAAGTATTCCTATTGAAGTACGCAAATGATAGTCAATTAACGTAAAGATAAGTTTGCTGATTATTTCCTTAAGCATCGTAATATTTCAAAGATCTAATGAATTCAGAGTTTGTTGATGCGGATGTGTGCCTTTAATACAAAAGGTCTCCGTCTGTTATAAGTGATACCTCTCTTAATGTATAAGGTACTGATAGGACGATGTGTCTGGTTTAGGAAATTCCGCAGCCTTTTTTTAACTTTCTCAAAGTCGGAATCCTTATCTGCATATCGCATTCCAGTTGTATCTAATCTACTAAAATATAGGTAACCTACAAGTAATGCTTATATTAGACATTGATAAATAGAATCAGAAACAAAGATATTAGCACGAAAATAGCAGCCATCCTTTCTCGGTCGCAATCTCTGCCCAATCAAAGCAAAAATTTCCATCTGTATTCTTTTTCCAAGCTTCCTTAATTATGCAATATATCTTTTCCATATTTCCTACGCAATATGTTTTCATTAGCTTTTCTATTTGCTTTCTCATATATTCTTGGTCTTCTTCTTTATAAGCAACCATTCCACACATAAGTAAAGGAAAGCCGAGACACGGAATCATACGAGTGTCAACTATGCGGTCTATTTTAACCAATGAATACATCAATATAGTTTGCACTTTATACGAAGAAGGAGGTACCATTTCCATTTGAAGAAGCAATAGCTCACATGAATATTTGATTAATTCAAACAAGTCGAGGTGTGCATCTAACTCGTTCTGAGATAAATCCTGAGATAGTCGTAAATCATGGGGCTGGCATTTTTCTACCTGTTCTCTCAAATATTTTACTCTGGAATTTACATATTCGTAATAAGTTATCCGTAACTTCGAGTTGAAACTATTACAAGATTCAAACGAAGTTGGTTTATTTGATTTGTCATCTCGTAGCTTGTATAAATCTGCTTGTAATTGCTTGTTCTTTTGTTTAATTATAATATTTTCACTCGCAATATCTCCAAGTAGTAAATAAATGGGTTGGTTACAACCCTGGAATGGATCTATTCCGTAGTTATCTGTTTCAAGTAATTTACCAGTCCTAAATACAGTTTTGTATTCATCCATCAATATGCTGCCATGTAAATATGTATCTGAGGACAAAATATCATGGAATTGTAGGTTTGATATCATCCACTTAATATCATTACTGAACTGAAAGTCATGCAATATTTTGATAATACCACCTTGTCGTATTATCAAATTCTTACATTGCTCAAGAAAACTTTTCCATCTAGATACGTCTCCAGAACATATTTCGATTGACATTGCAATTAAAAAAAAACCTAAAACAACAAAGAAATCGTTCTTGCTCAATGCAGTTGACATGTCATAGTTCATTAAAAGAAGTTTGGAAGCCTTAACCATATAGACTTGGTAATTATGAATATTTCGCTTTCCATCTACAAACATTCCACCCCAAGAAGCCAATGCATATTGAATGGGTTCGCTACTTACTGCTAGAGGAATAAATGTCTTCAATAAGTAGTTCGATGACTGTGGTCCAACAGTTATAAGTTTAGATACTTTCATTTCAAAAAACTCTAAAAAATGTAAACCTTGGTTGTCCAAACTAAGATTTAATCCCGAGTAAAAATATGGGGGCATTATTAGTTCATTGATCCATTCTTCATTAAGCATTGATTTGTGCATCAATTCTTTTCCTGAAGAGTTATTATTTACATCTTCATTAAGATCTTCTACCTGTTGCTCTTCCGGACTCAATATTATATCAAAATTCCTGTTACCATCATCCAGTAAATCAAAACTCTCGTGAATCGCAATTAACCACATGTAAGATTTGTGGCCAATTTCCCAATTCATTGAATTTTTCACTCAAACTATCCTTTTTACGAAAATCTGAATTTTCACCATTATTATGCTGTATTGAAATACTTGGATCATCATTTGAACTAGCACTATCTTGCCAGCAATAATTGTATTTCTTGGCCTTACAGGTACCACAGACAGGGATATTTCCATCGCATTTCTTTCTTGAATTAGGTTAGAAAAATCACATAATTGAACAAAAAGTACGAAAAACACTTACTTTCTTCGACGGCAATTCAAACAAGCCTTCTTGCACCTTGGGGAAGCACTAAAAAAGTTTGTAAATTTCACCGTGATCTTCTTATCCAGTTTACTTTTTGGTTTCATGTATGTTATATATTAAGAGGGAAAATAGATTTTGTATTTATTGAAAAGAACATATCTGTTACTTTTAATGATAATAGCCAAAATAGTTTGCACCGATATTTTTAATTTAATTTAATTATT